GGTGCAGCTTCAACAGAGTTGGCTGAGCCTTAATTTTTCACCCCCACCTCTCCTCCTTTCCATCACCCCAAGACATATCTCATGGGATATTGTTTCAAGCCTTTACAGAAGGGTTTGAGGGTACGCTTCAGCCCAGGCCAGCGGCTGGTCGTCTCATGGCAGATCTCAGTCGGTTCGATAAACAGGGTAAAAACCATACGTCACTGTAAGTAACTTCACATTATGAGTGCTGCTTTGAGATGGAAAGCTGACCAAAAGGGACACTAAAATACAACTTGCTCTTATATTTGGACTTAAGGCAAAATACAATTGTAATGTCTTACATTTCTAGCAGTAAACAAATAACTTTGGTTTCATAAAATGTATATGTTACATAAGTACATGCAAAATTACCATATTCTGTGTCCTACTGGTAAGCAACGCTAAACTAGAAATAATAGCTATGGCACAGTCCTTAGATTGCAGGGCTCTTTTTTGTTTAGGGCTGTGAAACATTTTTTTGCCTCAAGAACTTGTCTAAAAAAAGACAAAAAAGGAAGAAGATGAATTGCTTTACAGAAAGAAGATTTCAAAAGTAGTTTAGACAATAAAATTACTGCTTTTGGTGGCTAAATCGTCAAGTTCTAATTTGGTATATGGACAAACCCTTGCAGCACCAGCTGTGACAAACCTTTTAAGTATTTGAACTCGGACCTTTGTCTGATGTGTTGCCTCTAAAGGCAGGCATCGAGGGATATTTTGCAGTATGTAAAGAAGAAAATTTTAGATTAGTACTTCCCCAAAATGTCCCATTGTCTGGAGAGAGCCAAAAGTACCGGCTCTGCAAAGCAGGAAGCATGCAGTCAGCTGCCTGAGAGATAAATAACGAGAAAAAGGGACAGGAGTGCAAATTTCACACAAAAGCAGGAGACATGAGCAGAGAGAGCCCTGTGTTGCTCAGACAGATGCTCTGATCTGACCAGTCGCTGTTTTATGTTCCTGTAGCCCATCTAGCTTTTTGATGGGTGGTTGTGCTGTGTTGAATTTACAGTTGCTCATTAATGTTACATAAATAAGTGGGTTTTCTGTTCTAGATACAGATGAATTTTTCATCTATAGCCTACTCAACAAGTCTTTCAGCCTCATCTGACGTTTTCCAGATACTCCAGAGATGAAAAGTACCCTCCCATCATAATAATATAGTTTCATCTTCCTGTGCAGTTATTTTTAAACAGAGGAGTTAGATGTCACTCATTTTCTTATTAACATTGTCATAAAGGAAAAATACATATTTGGAGTCTAAACTGGTATCTTTCCAGCATCATTTCTCAGGCCATCCGGTTGCCTGTGAGTTTCCAAAATAAAAATGTTGAGCAATGTACTGATTTCCTTTATTGAGGGAGAACAAGGGTAAGACAATAGACTGTAATAGTGCAGATGGGTGTAACTACTGAAACCATCAGATCTGTGTCCACGCTATTAGTGACACTTGCAAGGTAAAGGGTGTAACAGCCTAAACTAAAAGGGTGGGAGTTTTATGTGGAGCATGAATTTTTGATTTCATTGTTTGTCAAAGCTGAGACTGAGAAACATCTGTCTTCCAGTGTTCATGATTACTAAGACTCCTGGCTGCATGAGCTCTTTTCCTAGCTTTGCAGCTTGCAGCAGAGTAAGAGAATGACCTTATACACTCAAAGAAGCAAAACCTTTTCGAAGAAAAGAATAATTTAATGTAGATTGGGACAAGTGTGAGAATCAGGCTCATGGGACTACTTCACAGATTGCTCAATGTTTTACTTTTTAATGCTCTTTTCTTTAGTAATAGCATTACAGCGTGATTAGCATTTTTGTGCTGACTACAAGATCATCCCATATTACAGTCTTATATTCCACGTCTTGCACAGAGTCTGAAAATTTTCAAAACGAAAACTGAGGTAGGATGAAAACCACTTGTCTCGGAGCATTAGAATTTATAGGAAATTGTTTCTTAGTTGATGATGCACAAAGCTTTGACAATCTAGGTATTTCTAAAAAACCTGCATGCTTGTTATCTCCTACAATGTAAACACAGACGCACAACATCCAGCTGTGCTGTAATAACTGGGTTGTGAAAAGTTAGTAGAGACTTGATGTTTTAAATACAGGTTCTCTTCTCTCCCACACCACATACCTGTATTTAGAAATGAGATTCCGCACCCTGGAAATCATTCCAGGTCTTCTTTTCATGCTGTATCCTTCCCCTGCAATTCATACCAACCACAGAAAGGAGCTGGTTTCACTGGCTGGGGCGGCCGCACCACTCTCTTGCCCACCCCACAGTTCAGTTTGAGAACAGATGTCACAGGCTCCACCTTTTCCCTCATAAACAAAAACCGGTTCCAAACTACCTCCAGGCTTTCTGACCCTCACTCTAGGCAAGATGGGAATGTGAACTACAGTCACGTTACTTTTGAAATAGTTGTTACCAGGCAGATGTGGGTATTGGTTTAAGAGCATCATTCTTAAAGCATCATCAGATTTTGGTTGCATTTACCAGAGCAAGAGCAATCTCCAGTTCATAGATGTGGGGACCTACGTAGGTTATTTTAGGCTTGAATTAATCTTCTCCATTTTGTTGATAAGAGATTTCCCCCCTCCCCCTTTTTTTTTTTTTTTTTTTTGTAAATAAGTAATACAGGCTCCACTTGGGAGAACTTGATTGATGCCTTGTCATGCCCTGCAGGGGTTTCTGGAGGAAGACTGAGCTAAAACCCAGAGAAAGACTTTCTTAGAGACATGTTAGTTATGATAGAAATCAGTTAGAAAAAGATGTCTGCGTGATCATTATCTTCTCTTGGATGCATTATATGGAGAAACAAAAGCTTTCATTTTTGCCCATTTCCAAGAGATTGATCCTCTGTATCTTCTGTACTGGTATGTGATAATAAAACATTACCTTTCCTTTGCAGATCTTATCTGCCTTTGCCAGTGCAAACACTGTGATAGGCCACTGTAAATCTAAATGAGC